CTCAAGAGCAGCCAGTCTTCCACTCTAAGGACCTTTTGATCTTGGAGTGATGGTGTCATTCCAGAGGGAGAACATGCTGTAATTTTCCAATATTTATAATGTTCTACAGGAGTAGAAGTCCACCAATTATAGCTCATTTTTAACTTCAGAAGGTGGTGTGACTTTCAACCTCAATTTAATAAATATCACTTACTGTGTCCCTTTTCCTGGAGTATCAAACTCTAGACATTAATATCAGGAACTGAACTTTCTGAAGAAACCAAGAAAATATGAGCAAGGGTATGGAAGGTAATGGCTATGTTTTACATATTTAAAAATGTTAATATGTTTTATAACTTGGAAGAACTTACACATTCCTTGTAATGTAAGTACAAATATATCCTGAGAAGATGGATGATTTTCACCTTGGTCATTTATAGGATAAGATTATAGCATCTGATGCCTGGAATATAAAATGATATCATGCAAAAGGATGAATATGCCAGAGAATCCAAAGTTGGAAGTCACTCTCAGATTAAGAGGCAGGCTTACATGTAACCATAATTGCATAATCAAGTGTCATCTGATCCACCATGCAAATGGTACAAGATACACCATGAAATATATCATGTTTGAGGTTACAGATTATGTAGTGAGAGCAAAAGTAGCTCTTCATTGGCATTTACCCTATACTCCCCCAAACACAAATATAACAGACTTCTGTGATGGCAATAGAAAACACCATCCTCTGTGAAAACTAAGGCCTATTTCATGTAAAGAAACAAGTTAAAGTTTTTCTTTTTGAATTATGTCCTTGAAGAATTCTGTCCTTAGATTTCCATGGACTGCAGGATTTCTTATCTCCCCAATGAAAAATGCCCCATACATCAAGCAGTGATCAAATGCCCCTAGTGTTCAAAGGAAAAAAAATCTAAAGAAAGACCTTATCAAATTAGATATAAAACTGAATATCCATGGAGCAGTATTAAAAATCAGTGCATAAACACAGCTAGGGCATTGAACTTGGTACAAGTATCAAACATGAGAAATGAATTAAATATGCTTTGTTGCTAACATAAACTAATTGCAGTTTACTACATTGTTAATGCTTCAAAGCAAGACTTTGATATTCCTCTTAGACAGGTATGTTTGTAAATTATGCAAATAACAAGTCCTTTCTTGCTTACTGAAATAAGTAAGTATTATCATTTACCTGAAAACTGAAATAAGACATAGACTTATAATAGAGAATCCTATTGGGAACAAAGAAATAGCAATTTCCATTTGCTCCATTCCCAGATGATACCATTTAGCACCTTTCCACCTATAATTCAGTGTAGGCTCCTTCACTTCTAGACAGGATGCTGACATGTGAGAAAGAGAATTTGATTATACTTAAAACCTTATGTTGAGGTCATAATTTTTCATAATTTTTTATTTCTGCTTTTCATACTAGGAGCCTGCCATAATTCCAAAATGACACTGATGCAGAATATTTCAAAAGTGTCTGAATTTATTCTAGTGGGATTAACAGATGCCCCAGAGCTGCAGGTCCCTTTATTTGTCGTCTTCACTTTCATTTATTTGAACACACTGGTTGGGAACCTCGGAATGCTGGTATTGATTCTGCTGGACTCCCGACTCCACACTCCCATGTACTTTTTCCTCAGTAACCTCTCCTTTGTGGACTGTGTTTATGCTTCAGCTGTCACTCCCAAGGTAATAGAAGGGTTTCTCACAGGAGATAAGATCATATCCTACAATGGATGTGCTGCCCAGATGTTCTTTGCAGCCTTTGTTACCATTGAAAGTTTCATCCTGGCCTCAATGGCCTTTGACCGTCATGCAGCAGTGTGTAAACCTTTACATTACTCTACCTCTATGACAACTACAAAGTGTGCCCTGCTTGTTGCTGGTTCTTACATGAATGGAATCTTGCAATCTACAATCCATGTGTCCTTTACTTTCCACCTCTCCTTCTGTCATTCCAATGTGGTAAATCACTTTTTCTGTGATATTCCTCCACTACTTACACTTTCTTGCTCTGATATCTATAAAAATGAAATGGTTCTTTTCATGTTGGCAGCATTTAATGTTGCTTTTACTCTATTGGTTATCATTACCTCTTACCTCCTTATTTTTGTTGCAATCCTGAGGATGCATTCTGCTGAAGGCCGAAAGAAAGCCATCTCTACCTGTGCCTCCCACTTCACCACTGTTTCCATCTTCTATGGCACAATTATCTTCATGTACTTACAACCCAGCTCCAGTCATTCCATGGACACTGATAAAATGGCATCTGTGTTCTATACTATGGTCATCCCCATGCTGAACCCTATTGTTTACAGCCTCAGGAACAAAGAAGTCAAGAATGCATTCAAGAAAGTTGCTGGAAAAGCATTATCTTCACTGGGATTAGTCAAGTTACTGTAAAATGTTTGAAAATGATTTGTAACTTCAAGTTACTTTGTCTATAAATACTTTAAATGTAATTATTTACTGACTTTAATCTTTCTGAATATATATTTCATAGATGAGTCCTCTTCTATTCATTCTTTTTGGATTCTAACTATGGACAGCAAATTTTGCATATTTTATTATAGAAATAAGGCAGTTCAGTTTTGATATTCAATACCTAATTCTATACCACATCTGAGCTACTGTTGTATATGTATTTCTTCTGAGACATAGGCCTCTTGAGAGAGGAAGGAGCTTATAAGTCTCAGGAAATAAATAAAAATCACAAAGCTCAGATGTCTTCTAAAATTTAAAAGATTCAGAATGTCAACAAAACTTTCCAGGTCCAGAGCTCAGAAAGTTACAAGACTCCCAAAGGCTGGTCCACAGAACTCTAACAGTAAAGTATTGATATCTTGAGGAGACTCTCAAACCACACTTCTTGAAAGTTGTTTATTGGGTTCTAGTAATTCATTTTTCCCCTGAGTGGTCAGCCATGCTGGGTAGAGTTTCTAATGATGCCTCTAGGTTAGATGCACACATGTTCCTTTAGGCAGCTCCTCACCCATGCTCATGTAGGTCATAACTAGCACTAAACTCATTGGTTCAGAAAGGTAGACTTGCATTGAATTTTTTATTTAGTCTGCCATTTGGGAGTGTCTAAGGGTTTTGTAGACAATTGTGCATATTTCAGGATATTAACAAAAGAACTGCTATGATGACAAATCATGAATAGATATAGAAATAGATCAAAGGATAGCAGAGTTATAGTTTCAAACATATTTTACAAGTTTTACTAGTTTCTTGAGTATTCAATACAATGTATTTTCATATTTATGCCTTCCCTCTCAACTTATCCCCCTTCTCTACCCATCTGTCTATATGCACAATGTGTTCTCCATTTAAGACAAATTAGGCAAGTAATCCTTGATGTGCAGCCTTCCAGAGAAGCATCGCCAATTTAAAGTGACTAACTGTTAGAGAAAACAGTTTCTCTTATCCAGCAGTTATCATAGTGACAGGATTATATGCCCAATTCTCCTCTGAGGATTCCAGTTTGATTATTGAGTTTTTCAATTCCACATTCACTTTACCTTCAGTTCCCTTCCATAGTCCTATTCCTATATTGATATCAGTTCTCAAATCCCTTGACATTTTTTTTCCTTGACATTTTTTTTTTAAATTTTTATTTTGCAATACAATTCAGTTCTACATATCAGCCATGGAATCCCTTGTTTTCTCCCCTCTGGGCTCCCGCACCTTCCTCCCAGCCCACCCCCCATTACAACCTCCTCCAGGGCAAAGCCTCCCCCAAGGACTGAGATCAACCTGGTAGACTCAGTCCAGGCAGGTCCCGTCCCCTCCTCCCAGGCTGAGCCAAGCAACCCTGCATAGACCCCAGGTTTCAAACAGCCAACTCATGCAATTTGCACAGGACCTGCTCCCACTGCCTGGATGCCTCCCAAACAGACCAAGCCAATCAACTGTATCACCCATTCAGAGGGCCTGATCCAGTTGGTGTCCTCTCAGCCATTGGTTCATAGTTCATGTGTTTCCATTCGTTTGGCCATTTGTCCCTGTGCTTTATCCAACCTTGGTCTCAACAATTCTCGCTAATTGGACTCCCAGAGATCCACCCGGGGCCTAGCCATGAATCTCTGCATCCACATCCCTCAGTCATTGGATGGGATTTCTAGCACGACAATTCGGGTGTTTGGCCATCCCATCACCAGAGTAGGTCAGTTCGGGGTGTATCTCCACCATTGCCAGCAGTCTGTTGTGGGGGTATATTTATGGATTTCTGTAGGCCTCTCTAGCACTTTGCTTCTTCCTATTCTCATGTGAATTTCATTTACCATGGTCTCCTATTCCTTGTTCTCCCTCTCTGTTGTTGATCCAGCTGGGATCTCCTGCTCCCCCAAACTCTCTTTCCCTCCACCTCACCCTTCATTACCCCCACTCATGTCCAGGCTGTTCATGTAGATCTCTTCATTCAGCCATATTTGTGTTTTTTTCTTGGGCATCTCTCAGGTAGCTATTGTTATTCATGTTAACTTCATTGAGCTGCCTGTTCATGTCTTCTCCAATCACCTTGAATACTTTGATAAGGTTAGGATTATTCTTTGGTGTTCTGTGTTGTTGATGTTTATCCAGGTCATTTTCCCTGGAAGACAATTCTTTAGGACATTGCATTATAGGGAAGATATACAGTTTGGGTCTTACATATTGTCTGTGTTTTTATAATGACTTCTAATCATGTCAATGACTTCTTTGGTGGCTATGTCTCTGATATGAGATCCTAGGCTGCCTTGGGCTTTGTGGCCTGGATAAGACTTGAGAGTTGGTGATAGTATGAGCAGCTGAGGTTCCAGGGACTCATCAAGATTTGTAGCCATACAGATGTGTAGCCAGTGCTAGGCCTGGGGTTTGGATATAATGCAGTTGATCTGGGCCAAGGAGACTCATCAGCCTGCAGAACACATATAGGATTTGTCCAAGGCTTGAAGATTGAATGTTGCTTAAACAACTAAAATGGAAGAAGAGAGAGGAACAGAAGCACATGTATGGCTGTCACTCCTAAGGTAATAGAAGGGTTTCTCACAGGAGATAAGATCATATCCTACAATGGATGTGCTGCCCAGATGTTCTTTTTTGCAGCCTTTGCTACCATTGAATGTTTCATCCTGGCCTCAATGGCCTTTGACCGTCATGCAGCAGTGTGCAAACCTTTGCATTATTCTATCACTATGACAACTTTAATGTGTGCCCTGCTTGTTGCTGGTTCTTACATGAATGGAATCTTGCAATCTACAATCCATGTGTCCTTTACTTTCCACCTCTCCTTCTGTCATTCCAATGTGGTAAATCACTTTTTCTGTGATATTCCTCCACTACTCACTCTTTCTTGCTCTGGTATCTACAAAAATGAAATTGTGCTTTTCATGTTGGCAACATTTAATATTGCTTTTACTCTGTTGGTTATTGCTACCTCTTACCTACTTATTTTTGTTGCAATCCTGAGGATGCATTCTGCTGAAGGCCGAAAGAAGGCCATCTCTACCTGTGCCTCCCACCTCACCACCGTTTCCATCTTCTATGGCACAATTATCTTCATGTACTTACAACCCAGCTCCAGTCATTCCATGGACACTGATAAAATGGCATCTGTGTTCTACACCATGGTCATCCCCATGCTGAACCCTATTGTTTACAGCCTCAGGAACAAAGAAGTCAAGAATGCATTCAAGAAAGTTGCTGGAAAAGCATTATCTTCACTGGGATTAGTCAAGTTACTGTAAAATGTTTGAAAATGATTTGTAACTTCAAGTTACTTTGTCTATAAATACTTTAAATGTAATTATTTACTGACTTTAATTTTTCTGAATATATATTTCATAGATGAGGCCTCTTCTATTCCTTCTTTTTAGATTCTAACTATGGACAGCAAATTTTGCATATTTTATTATAGAAATAAGGCAGTTCAGTTTTGATATTCAATACCTAATTCTATACCACATCTGAGCTACTGTTGTATATGTGTTTCTTCTGAATTGAGACAGTAGCTTCTTGAGAGAGGAAGGAGCTTATATGTCTCAGGAAATAAATAAAAATCACAAAGCTCAGATGTCTTCTAAAATTTTAAAGAATCAGAATGTCAGTGAAACTTACCAGGCTCCAGAGCTCAGAATGTTACAAGACTCCCAAAGGCTGGTCCATAGAACTCTGACAGTAAACTAGGATATCTAGAGGAGACTCTCAAACCACACTTCTTGAAAGTTGTTTATTGGGTTCTAGCAATTCATTTTTCCCCTGAGTGGTCAGCCATGCTGGGTAGAGTTTCTAATGATGCCTCTAGGTTAGATGCACACATGTTCCTTTAGGCAGCTCCTCACCCATGCTCATGTAGGTCATAACTAGGACTAAACTCATTGGTTCAGAAAGGTAGACTTGCATTGAATTTTTTATTTAGTCTGCCATTTGGGAGTGTCTATGGGTTTAGTAGACAATTGTGTATATTTCAGGATATTAACAAAAAAACTGCTTTGATGACATCTTGATTAGATATAGAAATAGATCACAGGATAACAGAGTTATAGTTTCAAACATATTTTACAAGTTTTACTATTTTCTTGAGTATTCAATACAATGTATTTTCATATTTATGCCTTCTCTCTCAACTTATCCCCCTTCTCTACCCATCTGTCTTTATGCACAATGTTTTCTCCATGTAAGACCAAATTTGGCAAGTAATCCTTGATGTGTGGCCTTCCAGAGAAGTATGGCCAATTCAAAGTGCCTAACTGTTAGAGAAAACTGTTTCTCTCTTCCAGCAGCTATCGTTTGGCAATACATTCATGAGCAGGAAATTATGCTCAAGTCTCCTCTGAGGTTTCCAGTTTGATTATTGAGTTTTTCAATTCCACCTACACTTTACCTTCAGTTCCCTTCAATAGTGCTATCCCTATATTGATATCAGTTCTCAAATCCTGTGTTGTCTTTGACAATATATTTATCCATATGTTTGTGTTTTTTCTTGGGCATCTCTCAGGTAGCTATTGCTATTCAAGTTAACTTCATTGAGCTGCCTGTTCATGTCTTCTCCAATCACCTTGAATATTTCGATAAGGTTAGGATTATTCTTTGGTGTTCTGTGTTGTTGATGTTTATCCAGGTCATTTTCCCTGGAAGACAATTCTTTAGGACATTGCATTATAGGGAAGATATACAGTTTGGGTCTTACATATTGTCTGTGTTTTTATAATGACTTCTAAGCATGTCAATGACTTCTTTTGGTGGCTATGTCTCTGATATGAGATCCTAGGCTGCCTTGGGCTTTGTGGCCTGGATAAGACTTGAGAGTTGGTGATAGTATGAGCAGCTGAGGTTCCAGGGACTCATCAAGATGTGTAGCCAGTGCTAGGCCTGGGGTTTGGATGTAATGCAGGTGTTCTGGGCCAAGGAGACTCATCAGCCTGCAGAACACATATAGGATTTGTCCAAGGCTTGGAGATTGAATGTTGCTTAAACAACTAAAATGGAAGAAGAAGGGAGAGGAACAGAAGCAATGTGTGGCTAAAGTTTCTCTGGAGGAAAATGGTGCTGGGATCAAGTGAGTTTCAAAGGCATGGGAATGGACTAAAGGAAGGGGGCACTCCCAGGCAAACAGCCCCCAGACTAGGAGGCCTGGAGTGTAAGAGAATGAAGGGAGAGCAATGATAATACCTGTGTATGCCCCATTTCTTCCTTTTTTTCAAATGGCTAGTTCACATTTTTTAGAAAATATGAGTACATTTCACTTTTCATTATTTCTTTTTTAAAAAATTTTATTTTATAATTTAATTTAATTTTACATAAAAGCCACAGATACCCCTGTCCTCCCTCCTCCAGACCCCTCTGCCCTCACCACAGCCCACCCCCCATTCCCATCTCCTCTAGGGTAAGGACTCCCCTGGGGATTCAGCTCAGCCTGGTAGATTCAGTCATTATTTCTTTGAAAATTTCATGCATCAATACTGCCTTTTTATCATTTCCATCCCTCCATCTTTCCCTTTAACTTCTTCCTTGCCCCCAATCCCTCACAATCTAATGACTTCCTCTTCTTTAATTTAATGCAAATATGTATATAATATATATACCTATATGCACATAAATTATTGAGTCCATTTAGTAGTACACATATATACACATGTACAAATATATGTATATATATATAAATATATATACATATATATACAAATATATATACATATATTTAAGGCTGACCCAGAATGCATAAATATATATTATGTATAATATATAGTGCATTTTATAAATATAAACATAAATCAATATAAATATATAGACATCTAGGTCTGACCACTTGGGTTTGGTGTAGCCGGAAGATTTCCTGTGTCCTGCCTGGCCCATGGTCCATACAAATCTCTCACCCACAGTCCCGCAGCCTTTATAAAATAATCACTCAGAAGCTTATATTAGTTATAAGTACTGGCCATTAGCTCAGGCTTACTACTAACTAGCTCTTACACTTAAACTCAGCCTATTTCTGTTAATTTATGTGTTGTCACGTGTTCTGTGGCTTTACCTGTATACCATTGCATGCTGCTCCCTGGACGGCTGGCTGGTATCTCCTGACTCAGCCTTCTTCTTCCCAGAATTCTTCTATTCTGCTTATCCCTTCTATATTTCCTGCCTGGCTAATGGCCAATCAGCATTTTATTAAACCAGTGTACAAAAGCATTATCCCACAGCAGATTGGATAATCTATTTGGGGACTTGCCACAGAAGAAAACTTGTTCTCTCAACAGCAATTTCCATTTCTTATTTGTAATTTATATAAAAATTGCTACTGCAAATTTCAGCTGACTAATAATTAATAATTCAACTTTACGTTTCTGAAATAAGATACAGAAGAAGTAGAGGGAAAAAGAAACCCAGATTCTTCATCTTTCAGATAGCAGTCTAAGAAGCTTGTGTTTCCATCTTCTAGTTGTATTATGATTCTTTGTATCAGTGAACCCAAATTATATATATATATCATGGATGTGTTCCAATTTCCCTGTTTTTTTATTTATTTCAACAATGTTTTGTACTATACAATTTGTATGTCCTTCACTTCTTCAGTTAAGTTTATTCAATGTATTTTATTGTTCTTGTGTTATTTACTTAATTTCTTGTGTGAATTGTAATTTGTTAATAAAGAGAAAGACAGTTGAGCCTGTGTTCATTATTTCACCTTGCAACTTTTCAGAATTTGTTTGTTATAATGAATTTTGTCAGCAGAGTTTTAGTATTTGGTGTTTTAAGATAGTGCTAGAAGGGCATGGGAAACTTTATTTTCCTTATTTGGCAATATAAAATGCACACATGTATCAGAATATCACATTGTAACCTACAAATTGTTGCAAACACTATGTGCAGATCATTATTAATGACGTAAGAGAGGAGAACAAGAGATGGCCCAGGGATTAAGAGCAACTACTACCTTGAAGAGAACCAGGGTTTGGGTTCCAGCACCTACATGACAGCTCACAACTCTTTATAACTCTGGTTCAAAGGAATTCAGTATATTACTCTGGCTGCAAGGGCACCAAACACAAAAGCAATGCCAGATGTATGTGCAGACAAACACTCAAATGCAGAAAATAAAATAAATATTTTAAAATATATTTTGAAAGAAAGAGTAAGAGGGAAATCATATTAAGGATGCTGTGGTGAGGTAAGTAGTTTTGTTATTAAGTAGTAAACAATGCCCTGAGATCATCTCACATCCTTTTGGACAAAGGAAATATTGTGTGAGGACTTATATTTCTGAACTTGAGGTATTAGTGAGATTTCTTTTTCTTTTCCTTTTCCTTTCTTTATTTTTTCTTTCCTGCATGACCCCATAGAATAACTGAAGATTTAATAATCAGAGGTTCTCTCATCTGAGTTTTATTCTCTCATGTCCTCATAAGCCTTCTTGGAATATAAAAGAAACTATAAAAGATTGGGATGAAGGACCAATATGGGATTACAAGAAAAAAAATAAACACATTTGCCTTTATATCAATGTGTCCCCCGAAATATGTGATAAACTTGCTCTCTCTGACTTAATATTTGCAGGAGAGCAAGTCCCTGTGACATACCACAGCAGAGTTCTACATGTGTGGAAGAAAAATCTTTCCTGGTTATGGACATTGGATGAACTTTCTTGACATGAAGTGATCCATGTCCCACCTTTGTACCACTGCATGTCTGTTCCTAATACAACAGTAAGTATCACAACATTGTGCCACCATAGTTTATTAGAAACATGAAAGAAGATGGAATACCTGGTCATTTTCATTTTACAAATGAAACCAAAACATAAAAAGAATGACAAGACTGGGAAACAGGTATAACTACATACAGACAATTATTCTACTCATCTTATCATTTTGGTCTACTGCTGCCTCTGCACTGTGGGTAGCTTGACAGCCTCCGTGTTCCATGTTCTTGACCAGCAGGTCCTGGAGTGAATGTTTTTAAAAAGAGACAGGTGGTATTCCAAATTATCTTGTGTTTTGAATGTTTTATGGAATAAGAAATATGAAATTTATTGTTCCATCTTTGAATTTTAACCTTGGCTTTTGTTTAAGAGAAGGGGTACATCATCTCTCACATTAAATGTGAATGGAGACTAGTAAAGAGAAATGAGAAGTTGTCAAGATTCTAGAAGATAGCAATTTCTATATCCATTTGATATGTTAACTGTTAGGCTTTCTTCATGAATGGTTTAAACTAAAACCATAAATTTAATATTAGTCAGTATCCATGAAGA